ATCCTTATTTGCTAGCCAGCAAAAACAATCCTTTTGGGTTAATTTCAGACCCACACGCCTGAACATTTTCCTGTTTCCTTTCATCTGCATTTATATCAATAGTTCTAACACAAGATGCTACATCTCCCTGTCCTTACACCTGCATCTGTGTAAGGCATTTGTTAAAATCTGTGTCGAAAGTGCTCAGAAAATAAATATTTGCAATGATCATGTTCACTGACTCTACCTGCTGACTATTACCTGGAGTTGACTTCCTTATGGGCAGCAAGTCATGCATCACTAAGGAACAGGAACCAGATCTATTGACTTGTGTTGCTGTCATCATCTGATATAGGTGTTTGGAGGCTGAACTGTGATGTCTGATGAAGAACTACAGCTAATGCAACACCCAGCAAACACTGGCCTTCAGCCTGAGCTCAGATTTGACTCACACATGCCTCTGTTTATTCTTGATTGAGTAAACCACTTACAGACACCTCCAACCAGCCCTGTGGCCTAGGGAGCAGAGAGGGCAGGGCCATAGCATGTTCTGCCCGAAACTCACACCAGCACCTTTGATTTCACAGAAAGTTACACCAGGTCCAAACATCACCCTTGCAGGTAGCCAGGCACCTCCCACTGATTTTTCTATCTCAGTGACCCAGAGGACTTATCACCAGGAGATGACTGGCAGTGCCAGTTCATAGCGGCAGGGTAGTTCAGGAAGGCTGAGTACATCCTTGTTTGACAGATTTGTCACGAGGCTAGTGTTCAATGCAAGTGGCTTATAATGTCCCTCTTGTTTTGCTGAGGAATTATTTTTCCTCTTCTTCAAAGGTTTTTTTTTTCTTTTTCAGGTTCCTGCTAATTTCATGTTACTTTTTGACAAATGTGATATGAATAATTTTTCTGGCAATAATATATTCAAAAACAGTATTCTAAGCAAACATTTCAGTTGCAAAAAATAGTCAGAAAATAGATTGCACATTGTGTAGCCTGAGTCACTGAAAATAGGCCAAGTTTCTATCATCTGGGTGAAAACACACAGAATTTTCACATCAACAGACTAGTGAGTGCAGTGTCCAGTCTGTAGCTAATGAGATACAGAAAGCTTTGCTAGGAACAGTCCTTATTAGAGAAGGCATTGATATCAAAACAAATCATCCCCTTCCACCTGCTTTTTTTTTCTGGTGAAATGGAAGAAATAATGTGACAGATGCTGATAACTTTGCTCAGGGTGTTTTCTGCAAGATTCTCAGATATGGCAGGGAAATGCACAGATGAAAAAGCTGCCCATGTCAAAAGAAGCTGGGGGAAAGTTTACTGCTATCACTTGTCAATAAGCAGCCCACATCTGTTCCTTCCCAACTCTGGATCATATTCTTAAGGCATAGGTCAACTACATAGGATTTTAATGACTTATTATTTTTCATAGTACAAAACATTTTAAGGTCACACTCATTTTAGTCGCAAAAGAGAAACACATCAAGTACCTCAATGCATTCAGACCAGCTAATCAACACATCAGCACAGCCAGGATTTTGAATCTCAAATACTTTACTTTGAGCTGCTCACAGACTGAAAAATTCATAAATCAGAAATGACTAATGGCCATATTCAGCAAATAATTTCAGACAGCGAATGCATTTGAGAAGCCCTCAATCTGTCCATAGAAAGATCAGAAATGATAAGAAGAGGTGACTTTTGCTGTACTTCTCTGGCAAATGAGTTACTCACAGGAAGCCAGAGTTGTTTGGCTCCCAAGACACCAGCCTTTGAGGAGCTGGGCAAGCCTGTGTTCAGCTCAGGACATGCTTTTGGCAGTAATGGAAGTTGCCCTGCAGAAACCCTCAGGAAAAATTTTGCAGAAGTTGTCATTTATTAAAACAAAAAAAAACCAAAAACCAACCAATAAACAAACAAAAAAAAAAAAAACAAAAAAACAAAAAAAAAAAAAAAACAAAACAAAAAAACCCAACCAAAAAAACCCACAAAACAAACAAACAAAAAACCGACCAAGGAAAAAAACCCAAAACAATCAAAAAAACAAACTCTGTCACTCCATCTCCTGTGCTGGCTCAATCCATCAGGAAAAGGAACATCTGCTCCTGCAGTGGCTGGCTGATCTCTCCACTGAACTGCATGCATGTCTGTAACAAAGCATTGTGAGGGTTTAAAATTAAATTTGCTATGAGACAGAAACTAGGCAGACCTGCAGCAGCGGCTGTGAAGCCACAGATTCCCACT